GTTTCTTTCTAAAATTTATATTCATTTATTCTCTAGTCTTATAATAATAAATTCCCTTTAAAGTACGATCCTAAACGAGTCTAGTAAAGCCTTTACTAATTTAATTCAAATTTATACTATTTCAACTCCTATTCTTACTAGAAAGTTATATATAGAATAGGTTTTACCCTAGTCCCTTACCGGTCTTATTAAACTTTTTAATACTTTTTATCCTATAAATTAGTACTATATAGTTTTAACGTCTTATTTTATAAATTAAAATTTTAATACTTAACCTCTTTAATATTTATTTATTAAGAAGAAGGGCGCTTAGCCTTAGGGCTATTATAATACCTATATACATATTAAAAAGGAAAGGATTTTAAATTTCTTTATTTAAGCTTTTAGTATCCTGTATAAATCTCTTTATTATTTACCTTCTTATTCTTTTTATTAACTTTTTTATCCCTTTTAAGAACCTTTTCTTTTATTCTTATTATTTAGTAAAGGTTTAAAAGACCTTTATTTCTATTTTTTCCACTAAAAATAAATAGGAAACGGTTAATATTTAGTCTCTTTTTATTGGGTATATATTTATATTTAGTAATATTAAGGGGGGGGATTTATAGTAATTGCACTTAGGATATTAAGAGGATTAATAAATATATTTATTCCATTACAAACTTTAAAGGCCTTTAAACTATTACTAAGTATAATTCTTCCTATAAAGATTTTACTAAGTATATATATTAGAATTATAATAAGGGAGGAGATTTCCTAGTTATTAACAGGGTTATTTAGAATTTTTGGGTCTGCGCTAATTAATAGATTATTACTAGTAAATAATTTTGGGCAGAGTATACCAATTTCGAATATTACTAATTTTATATTAGAGGTTAGGGGGATATAGTTAGAAGGAGCTACTTAGCTTAATAGTATTCCTTTAATAATAGTAATAACTTTTAGGAGAAAAGAGAGGATTAGAAGGTTAATTCTAACTCTTTAAATATTAATAATAATTTAAATATTAAAAATTCATTTTATAATAAAATAGAGGTTAATAATACGAATAAAGGTAGTAATATAAATTCGTACAATATTAATATATTTATAATTATAGTAGTTCTTAAGAGCCTTAAGTTAAATAGTTGTAGTAAAAAATAGAATAAGAAGGGTATTTTAGGTAATAATATAGGTCCTAAGACCCTATTTTCTAAGGTTTTAATAACTCTACTTTTAAGTATAGTTATAGGTATTAGCTTTTCTATTTATATAGACGAGGAGGTTCCTTCTTTTATAACTACTATTAATAGAGTTCGTAGTTAAAATAGTAATAAGAAGGGTAATGCAAATTTATAGCCGGCTATTATTAATAGTATATTTAAGACTCCCTTTTATAAAAAGGATCCTATTATTAATATTTATAACTTTGGAGAAGAAGGGGATTTTATAGTTATTTCTTTATTTAAGAAGAACGATTTTCCTAATATTGAAGAATTTCTTAATAGCGAAGGTATTATTAATATTACTTCTATTAATAATAGTAAATTAGTAGCCTTAGGAGGGGATCCGATAGAATTAGATAATAGATTCCTTTTTAATATTCCTTCTTTTAATTAAATAGTTCTTTATATAAGTAGGAAAATAGGTTTTTAATTCGTTTTTTTTTGAAAATAAAAAGGAGTAAGGAGGTATATAAAGAAAATAGGTAGAGATTTAGAAAAAAGGAGGGGGTTAGGTAGAGTAAATTTCCTATTGTATTATATATAAGTTAAAGTCCTCCTTTATTCCTTTACCTATTGTAATATTTAGTCTTTTCTTTAAAAGTAGTTAGAGTCTAATTTACTACTTTCGCTAAAAGTTACAAAATAGTAATAGAATATAAAGAAGTATATAGTTTTAAAATTATTAGTATTTTAATTGTATTATATAAATTTATTCTTTATCTATCTTTATAACTCTATAATATAATACTATTATATTAAGGCCAATTCGGATTTAATCTTCTTCGTATTATATAATTAGAGGGGATTTCCCTTCGTCGAAAAATAAAAAGCTAAAAAAATTCAAAATATTAACCAAAGTAAAAATATAAAAATAAAAATATAAAGTTAGAACTAAAAAAGGAAAATAATTGAAGTAAAAAGCGTATAAAGAAAAATTAGAATTGTATTATTACTTTGGTATTAGTATATTAAGTTAATTAATATATATTAGGTACGGATTTTCCTATCCTTAGTATATATGAATTGGGTATTTAATTAATCCTTAAAATTTATTTATAACCTTAAGGGTTTCCCTTTTAGGAATATTACCTTAATTTGGGTTTTTAATAGATTCTTCCCTATTTTATTATTAAAGGTACTTTTCCTTGTCTTCCTCTTTTCTATAATAGTATCTTCTCTAGGTTCGTATTATAGTATCCGTCCTAGAATTTCTTCTATTAATAATTTATTATTAGCCGGTTTAGGATTTCTTTAACCTTTTCCATCCTTAGGAGAAATTTATTCCTCCCTAAATATTATATTTAAATTTTAAGCGTTTAGTATTATTCTATCCCGGATTATAAACTTTTTAATCTTTTTAGTACTTATAAGTTTATTAAATTATATTCCGTCGAGGGTATTAATATAGTATATACTCCTTAAGTTAGAAATCTAGTATATTTTATAGGGACCTTACTATTAGTAAGAAAGCTTCTTTATAGAATCTATAGTAATCCTTCGGATACTATTATACTTTAAAATTAAATCTCCGACTTTAATTTAAGCGTTTTCGGATTATATTTTTCACTAATTTTACTTATTACAATAATTGGCTATTACTTCCCTTATTATTACAACTTTTTTTATAATTTATATAAATTTGTATTTAGAATCCTTATATATTTTAGCGATTATATTAATTAGCTCCTCCCTTATTATTACCCTATTATTCTTTTTCTAATTAATAACCTATTAGGAGGGTAAATTAAATTTAATTAATAATATTAAATTATAATTGTATATTAGTTAGAAGGGAGTATATTTATAATTGCCTCTAATAGTAGTTTAATCCATAAAGAGTATATAAAATAGGTACTTCTTCTAATTAGTACTATTTTTATTAATTATTTTTATTAGCGAGGAGGCGATTATTATATACCTTTATTTACTTATACTATTAGTTCTTAAATTATAAAATATAATAGACTCTCTAGGGATTTCTAATTAAAATAAGTATTTAGTAATTGCTTTTTAGAATTCTATACCTCTATTAATAAGAATTATTAAAAAGTATTCCTACTTTAGGAATAGGAATTTAAGGAAGTCCTTCACTTTATTTAAAGAGGTTGTAGGGAGTAGAGTAACTTCTATATAGTTTATTAGATTATCCCTAGCTTTTAAGAGGGGGATCCTCTTATTATTTACAATTAGAAAGTATTAAATATTTAATATCTACTTTTCGAAGGGATAGAAGTTTAGATAAATTTATTAATAATTATCTTCGAATTGTTTAAAGTTAAATATTTAATAATTAGGGTACGAGCGGATTAATTCTTCTATTTAAATATATATCCCTTTCTAATAATAGTATTTAGTAATACGGCGATATATTCCTTTCCAACCCTAATATCCTACTTTATTATAATAGTAGGATATAATTTGCTAATACTCTTTTAGGCTATTAATAAATCGCTTTAGGCTTTAAATAGAAGTTGTAGGTCGTAGCTAAAGGATTTTATTATATATTATAAATTTAATAATATTAATATAGAATTAGCGTTTTATAATAGTTCCCTTTAGCCTTAGGGGTATTTTATAAATTAATAGATATTTAGCAATCTCCTCCGACTTATTAAACTATTCTCTTTAGAATATTAATTTTAAGTTATTTATTTATATAATAAAAATAAAATAAATTTACATATTTATAAAGTTATTAATATCCTCCTTATATATTTATTTATAGAAGTTGGAAGGGCTGGGGGGTTTGCGAAATAGGTTATTAATTACTATATTTTTATTTCCTAGAATATATTTAATATTGAAGTTAAAAATATTCATTTAAATAATTTATTATATTAGTAGCGCCTTAAATATATTATTTATAACCCTATTTAATTAGTAAATTAAGATTATAACGTTAATTTTAATAATAAAGTAAATATTAAATAAGTATTTCCCTAAGTGTTTTAGTGTATAAAAGAGACTTTAAAGTTCCTTTTTTATAGCGTTATATTTTTTTTTAGTACTCATCTAAATTCTATTCCTAAATTAGTATAGGTATCTTTTTCTATTGGGGCCGATCTATTCTAGGATAGTTCCCTAACCTTCTAATAATATATTAGCTATAAGGAAATTTATTTTTTAATAATCATTATTATAAATTAGGGTAGTAAAGATTAGTATTATAGTAACTATATATTATAAGTACTCTATTATAAATTACTCGTTTTCCGTTTATTAGAATTTAATATTCTTTTTAGTTAAGTCGTAGAGAGGGATTGTAATAATACTGAACCTTCTAATCTAAATTCTATAGTACCCTACAATATTTAGGAAGGTGCGGATCTACTTTAGCTCCTTTCCTTTCTTATTTATTTAATATTCGTAGTAAATTTATTTATTAATTTTTATAATCTTATTTATAGCCGGGGCCCTTCTATTTAATATATATAAGTATCCTACTAATATTACTTTCTTTTAATACTATTAAGACTTAATAGTTGTAATTATTCTTTTTACTAATTTTATATTAACGAGTACTTTATCGATATTTATAAAATATTCTAATATATATTTTCTAATTCCTTTAGTATTAATTTACTTTTTACTATAGTTATTTTAAAACCTTTTAATATATATATTATCGAGGTAGGGTTAATAGATATTAGGAATTAAATTGTATAGTATTTTTATTATTACTTTTATAGATTGGGCGATAGAGTTTGTACTTCTTTATAATAGAATAATTATTTGAAAGTAGCCGATAGGAGTTAAAAAAGTAGTAAAATTACGGTTGGTTTTATTAAGGGGGATTTAATTGTATTTAGAAAAAAGGTTTAATAGGGATATTATTTTACAACCTCCGAACGTTCTACTAAACTCTTCGTAGTTTAGTAGTAGGTTAGTATTTTGGAGAATTACTTTATTAATCCGTTGGGTGTTATTAATAAAACGTAGGCTATTATCCTTCTTTATAATTAGAAACTAATTATTTCTATATATTATATAGTTCTCTTCTAAAATTCCCTTTTTAATTCAATCCTTTAATAAGTTAAATACTTTATTATAAAGGGCTTTAAGGATTAGAATAATTTTTATTTACTAAGTAGAATAGAGGATAGTACGGCCTTCTTAGGGCGGAATAATATTAGAGTCTAGCTTTCTATATTCGGTAAAATCTTAGGCTAGAGCTTGTTCTCTATTAAAGAGAATATAGGTAAATAATTCGGCTTCTCTTTTATTTAAAGTATTTTAAATTATTTCTAATAGGATTTAGAATTATTCTTCTATTAAATACAACCTTCGAATTAATTTTATAAATTTTAGTATAATATAATAATCTTATTTAGAGCTATAATTTTTAAGTATAATAATAATACGATTCTTAATTATTATTAACTTCTTTTCCTTCCAATTAAGGTCCCCGCTAGGCTTTAACCTATTCAATATAATATTATTAATTAGGTTTACTTTTTATACCGCTCGCTTATATATTATATTAATTTATATTATAGTTTATTCTAGTCTTTTTTTAACGCCCTTTATTTCTTTTTAACTCCTTCCTTAGGTTTTAATTATAAATAGATCTCTAATTAATATAGTTTTTAAATTAGTATTCTTTAGAAACTTTAAGAAAAGTTTCTTTAAATAGCGATAAATTTATTAGGAATCCTTTCTTTCTTATAGGCTTATTAAATAGTTTTACTCTCGATTTTAAAAGAATTATTAAATCTTCTATAATTTTATTAATAAGGGGGGTAATTTATTTATTATTCTTTTCTAGAACGTTTATTAATAATTATAGGGAGGTATTAACCGTTAATAGTATAGTCCTTTTTAAGTAATTTTCGCCGGGCTTATTACTTTACTTATAAATATACGAGACTACTATAACGATAGGGGAGTTAAACCCTTTATCTATCGCCTTATTTTCCCTTAAGGGTTTTTAAATTTATAATTAATATAGCACAAATTACTACCCTATTAAATATTATAATTATATAATTCCTTCCACCCTTTTTATATTTTATATAAATTTTAGCGTTTTAAAAGAATAGTAGGCCTAAAATAATATTATAGTTCGGTAGGGCTTATTCGGTAATAAAAAAGTAGATTTCCCTTCTTTTATTAAACAATTAAACTTTTTAATAAATTTTTTAAAAAATCCCTTCTTCCCTCTATTACTATTAATATTAGAAATATTTATAGTAATACTTTAAAGGCTTAGTAAATCCATTAGTACTTTATAGATAGTATTATATTTAGTCCCTATATTTAATAAGGCTATAATTTTCCTTCCTCTTTAAAACCTTATTAATATATAGAATGTAAATAGAGGGGCAAGGCGTATAGTATCTCCTTCTATAAGGGGGGATTTATTAACGAATTTTATTTAATTTATTATTAGAATTAATATATCTTAAAGGGAAATAATTCGGGCCGGTATAGATCTATTCTTCTTTTAGTTTCCGATATTTTGCTATTCGAATAGAGAGAAAATATCCTTTTCCGAGGAAGGTTGGGTAAATATAGGGCTATTATTCTTCGAAACGATTTTAATTAGGTTTATTAACATTTCTATTTCAAGATTTTACTTTTCTATAAATATACTATAAATTTAGACCTTATTAGGTCTAATAGGGATAAATTTATTAATTTCCGAACTATTATTAGGAATAATATTATTATTATATTTAAATTATATAGTAGTAATCTAGTTTTTACTATAAGGGACTTTAAAAACGTATTTAATTTAATTATAAATTATTAAAATATTAATAGGGTTATTCCGGATAATATATTTAATAGTAATTATAACTTTAGCGTCTATAAATTTAGCGGCTATAGGGTATATCTCCTTTATTTTTAAAATATTATTTTAAATCCTAATATCCTTAGTAAATAATTAATTTATTCCCTCCTCCTTATATATAAATAAAACCTTTTTAGATTATATTTCTAATATTTTACTAACGGGGGTAAATAAATATATTTGAATTTTATTATTTAAAGTAATTCTAAATTATTTAGGGGCTATTTTGAGTATTTCCGTAGTAGACAGTTAAAGGATTAGAGCGAAGGGAGGAATAATTATAGAGCTTAATATTATTTTATTAGTCCTAAATCTCTTTAATTCGCCCGTAATTACTATAGTATTTTAAAATGTAGTATAAATCTCTTTCCAGTTAGTATTTATTTTAGGGGCTTCTTTTAATTAAATAGTATTCTTAGGGTTAGTAAGGATAATATAAATTCCAATTACCTACTCTCGAACGAGAGAGGATATTTTATATAATTCTTTAAATACTCCTATTAAAGTATAATTAATAGCAATAATAGGGGGGCCGG